CCCCCCCCCCCCCCCCCCCCCCCCCCCCCCCCCCCCCCCCCCCCCCCCCCCCCCCCCCCCCCCCCCCCCCCCCCCCCTTATAACAAAACTGAGTCGGATGGAGTATTATACATATGGTTAAAACACAAAAAAGCATTTTGTGGATAAGAAACGTTAAGGAGAATCTTAACGGAGCCTGTCTCTCGAAAAGCACATATTTACTGGCCAGCTCACATGTAGTTTTATAGAAGGTTGAATTCTGAACGAAATGCACCCTTTATACTCAGCTTATGTTACAAAGAAAAGTATTTAGACTCATTTTATGTATAGTATCCAGGACGATATTGAACGTCGAAAGATCATTGATCTATTTTTTTTCCATAGACGCAGATGGATTCAGACCTCCACATGAATGTGGCAGATAGAGCTCATACTCATACAGTTACCAACAAAATTAGAATTTGGTTCTGCATATCGTTTGGGTTTTATTTTATTTTATTTTAGTTATTTTACTGAGCTTATGTAATATGGGTATGACCGATTGTTTTTCATAAACGATCCATTTTTCCTAGAAGAACAAGCCTCTGTTGTTCATTACCGAACTAGTTTATACAGTTTTCATTGCTTTACAAGAATATGGGCAAAACAACATCTCATTGTAACTTACTACATTACCGAATCTCGACTCTTCCTCTTACATCAACACCGATTAAAGGCCAAAAACATTGTGACACCCAAATCTCGGTAATCAGAAGGTGTTAACCCAAACCCAACAGAGATTTAGATTCGCTGCCAGAAGCTCTACAAAAACTGATATATTACTTTCTGTTTCGACATACTTTTGAAATCCGACAGGGTCTTTTGATGAAAATTACCAAGAATGAGCTATTTCACCTGGTATAGGTTTGTACTCGGTTCTCGCATTTTGTTCTGAAAACTAACATTGCCATGAGATTCAACGTGATCGATGACCTATATTTCCAAGGATTTTTATCGGTCTCCGACCTAACAGAAGGGCAGTCATAGTGCATCGTGGAAAACCTTCACCAAGCCTGAACTCTCTTGGATTTTCAAGATGTTGCTTAGATCCAGTTTTGTAGGTGCCAGCTATAGCCTAAAAACAGTGCAGCTTTTGTTTCTCATTTTATGATAATAAGAGAAACAAAAGCTGCACTGTTTTTAATCCTTAAACATACTATAATTGTCATGTATGTATTGTATCTTATCCAAATTCACAAACTGATCCGTTTAGCAGATAGTATAAGACCAGTTGTAGAAAAGGTGAAAATGAAGATATAGAGGCAGAGGCGTACTAAACTAGTGATCCATCCAATTTCTCATGACTTTTTTATCCAAAACTTTTTCTGTCGACAGAGGTTAAAACAACTTTGTAGGGCGACGACTTCCCAAAAAACTCGATGGCGTCGCCGAAAATCTAAATTAACCATCAGCAGCGCCGGAGAGGAACTTCGGAAAACTTCTTGGGGGCCAAAACCTTAGTTATCCATCGGCAGCGGCGCACAGGTCTAACTGCAAAGTGAAAGCCTTCTAAAATTAGGATACTGATTTTTCAGAGACATTCGAGAAAACCATCTCTGCAAAAAGCGATAGTTGACGCTGCCAGTTTTACGTAGTGATGGTAGTAAAAACAGGATGCATAAACCGAAAAACGGAAAACATTTCGCTACTGCAAGATTCTGCAGTTTTCTGGATTGACGAAGCCTACGCTAGACAGGATCAAATTCGGTCAGCGCTAATTACTTAAAAAGACAGCGATTGTTGGAAAATCAAGTGTAGAAAATGCTACGCATGAGTAACGAATACTCTCGGCTATCCAGTCCTAAAAGTTATAGAATCACCAAGAAATTTGTGTTCTTTCAAATCTTTTGTCTAGATATGTTATATTTTCTTCTTATATTTATTGTACCATATAAACTCAGAGATGTTCTATCAGAGTATGACACGAAAATTTATTCTATCACATACTTATCAAAAAGAAACATTTGGAAAAAGAAATCCCCGACTTTTCCTGTTCAGAATTATACAATCCAGTAAAATTTCTTTGAGCGTTCGGCTCAATATGTACTAAATTTTAAGCCACGAGACATTAGAAAATTTGATGCTTGCTCCGTGCTGAACCAAATTGAATAAATATTGGGCACCCAGAGGGCTAAATTTGTCGGTGAATCCGACAGCGGTTTCCTTATAATTACACCTTCACTTCTTTTTTGGTGTCGACATAATCATGGCGTCTTTTTTTCAACCAATGAGAAAAATAAAATTTAGGCGAAAACCACGTTGATTATGTCGACACCAAAAAAGAAGTGAAGGTGTATTTATAAGGAAACCGCTGTCGGATTCACCGACAAATTTTGCATCTGGCGCCCAATTTTTATCCAATTTGGTTCAGCGCGGAGCAAGCATCAAATTTTCTAATGCACAGTTTTACATGATAAATTTCTCGCATTGAACCACTTAAATTCCTGTCATTTCATATCTTCAGTTTATCGTTCTTCCTTGATCCCTTCATCCGATCTATTCTTCTATTCCATATTAACACTTGTTAACGTTGAATTTATTTTCGACGCTTCTAAAACTGCTTCAGCAACTTCAGCCGATATACCGTTTGCACTCATATCGAGACTTGTTAATGTTGAGTTTATTTTCAATGCTTCTCCAACTGCTTTCGCCCCTTCATCCGATATACGGTTGTTTTTAATATTAAGACTTGTTAACGTTGAGTTTATTTTCAAGGCATCCGCAATTGCTTTGGCCCCTTTAGACGACATCCAGTTGCATTCAATATTAAGACTTGTTAATGCTGAGTTTGTTTTCAAGGCATCTGCAACTGCTTTGGCTCCTTCATTCGATATATTATTGTATCCCATATTAAGACTTGTTAACGTTGAGTTTAGTTTCAATGCTTCTCCGACTGCTTCAGCGCCTTCAATCGATATATCGTTCTGGTTGATATCGAGAGTTGCTAATGATGAATTTATTTTCAAGGCATCCGCAATTGCTTTTACCCCTTCATAAGATAAATCGTTGTGTCCAATAGTAAGACTTGTTAATGTTATATTTATTTTCAGGGCATCTGCAACTGCTTTGACCCCTTCATCCGATATATTGTTGTTTTCAATAGTAAGACTGGTTAACGTTGTATTTATTTTCAGGGCATCTGCAACCGCTTTAGCCCCTTCATCGAATATAAAGCCGCCGTTCATATTGAGGGCTGTTAGTGTTGAGTTTATTTTCAAGGCATCTGCAATTGCTCTGACCGCTTCAATCGATATATTGTTGTTATCAATAGTAAGACTTGTTAACCTTGAATTTGTTTTCAGGTCATCTGCGATGGCTCTGACTCCTCCAGACGATATGGTGCTGTTCGTAATATGGAGACTTGTTGTATCACTGCGTCGTAGTTTGTCGAGAATTTTGTTTTCATACTCGGGTATACTGAACATTGTTGGTGGTTCAACAGTTGATGTAATAGTGAATGGTGATGAGTGACCGAATATGGGTATTGCGTGACGATTAAAGACGAATGGATTTGGTGTAATTACTATCCATATTTATATAGGAATAGTTTTTTGTGATTTTTTTGTGAGTGAAGAAAAAGATACAAAAAAATTTCCACCTGACATATAGTCTATTTAGCTGCATTTAATGACCGATTCTGCAGATGAATAGTATCCTGTGTTTATTCAGCCGTACGATGGTGATGTTTTACAGGTATTATTCATAGAATGCATGTTGACGTTGTCTACCTTGTGAGTTAAACACGCATTTAAACGCATTTTAGTTAGACAAATACCGAATTGTACACCTTGATCCGTGGAAAGCACTCGATATCTGAGACCGGTCTGATTTGTGAATATCTGCAATTTACATAACATCTAGATATTCAGATATTGAGAGGGGCTGGGGGGAGGGAAGGGCGGGGAGATGAGAGTGAGTGAGAGAAACTGAAGATCCTAACATCTGAATATATAAACATCTGCAACTTAAACAATATCTAGCTGTTTGAAAATTCAGATACTCAAAACTTAGACATTTGGATATTTAGATATTCAGATGTTAAGACCTGCAGTTCTTCTCACTCACTCTCATTTCCCCGTCCCCTCTTCCCTCAGCCCCTCTAAATATTTAAATATCTAACATTTGAATATTAGAATATCTGAATATCTAGATGTTATGTAAATTGCAGACGTTAACAAATCAGATCTTACTGCGATATCTATGAATTGTAGTTTTGTTAGTTGCTACATGACTGCAGCATTGTTCGCTGCGGCTTTTCGTCGTTGTTTCCGAGCTGATTAAGGGAAAAGGGAAAAAGCACTTTCACTCGTACATCCTAGTACAGGAAATACACAGATATCGTCTGACATATTACATAATGCATCAAATTTTCAGAGATGAGAGAAGGTACAAAGTTTGTCTGTGTTTTTGTTTAGGTACGAAAAAATTATACCGATAGATAACTGCATATGTCTTTTGCGTTTTTATTCACTTTAGTTCTTTTAGTCTTTTACTCTGTTTAGTCTCTTTGTAAGGCCTAGAGTAAAAGGCGAAAGGGAGTAAAAGACCGAGTATAACTTTTTCATAGCTAGAAACATCTCGGGAGATACTTTGCACTATCTCCTGCCCTTCACAATTTTCTATTGGTTGTTCAAAATTTCATTGATGCTTGAAGAGTCTTCAATGTATTATTTGGTAGAGCCATTTAAGATCATTCTTCTATGAAAAGAATTAGAACATCATAGCGGTGGTCAGGAGACGATGAATTAAAAGATTTGTTTTAGCGTACCAGCTGATGCGTTTCACTCAAACATGACATTCTTCAAACGATCAGTTTCTCAGGGGATGCTCAGAAACATTCCCAAACAATTCGTTTCGCGAGATCTCTCGGTCAGGTTTTTGATGCCTGAGGTCTCCTCCAGGACTTCCGGAGAGCTTTTCATTTTTGATTTCGATGAAAACCATCTAGACATATGTAATTGATCACGCTGATCACGAATATAAACGTTAGAACACGTGGAAGTGCTTGATTTGGCCAGAAACTCAAAATTAGTCACTTTTTTTAAAACCCCTTCAAAATCGCGTATACATTCATGTGTTTGCCATTACTATCACTTTTCCCCAAAAAATTCGCCCTTGGTACGCCTCAAGGAAATGGAAAAATTATGCCGTTACTTGCATCTTGCATATTCTCTTTTCTTTTCTAGTTCTATCCGCGAACTTCTGGTTAGAAGTCAGACGCGATAGTCCACTTCGCCACAGGGGCTACACTCTCTCGCAGTAACTGACTTTTGATATAGAGTGAGGGGTTCTTTTATACTTCAAACTTTTTGAATAATGTCTTGTATGTAAGCCAGCAAAGAATATAGCCCCTGTGACGAAGTGGACTATCGCGTCTGGCTTCTAACCAGAAGTTCGTGGGTTCGATCCCCACCAGGGGTGAACTTTTTAATTTAGGTACAAAATAATAATCATTTTTTTGCAGTTTTTATATCCAATTGGACGAAGTGTATCTGTTATTCGAAAGAAATACCTATGAGTCAATATGATATAATAGTCGAAATAACATTTGTGTTTACTTTATAAGTGCCACTCTTCATTGGAGTACTTCTCACGAACTAACTACACTTTGATCTTCGCTTTGTCAACAACACTACTCTAAACTCACAGTATTCTTTATAATTACGAATATTTGTTTAATATTTACTTATACGAATAGATTTCACTTCCTGTTTTATCATAACAATGGTGATGGCAATATTTACATAATATTATCACCGAACAATGGTGAGACTCACGAAAAGCTCGAAATTTAAATAGTTCAAGCGGTTTACGGATTAATCTAAAACATTTTCCTTAGTACTATTATACTCTTTATTCCGATATTCGATTAAGCTTTTAATCGAGACGAAAAACATCATCGGCTTTTAGATAATTTTTTCTAATAAAGGAGTTCTTGGCTATACCTTCAAAATCTTCTTAATTTAACGACTCTGAACGTTCAGTACTACTGTACCAAACTCCATTTTCTTATCACATGTCGCGATGTGAGTCTGTTTAAAAATTCGCGCCGGGATCGTGTAACGCGTTCAGTGTAAGACTAGCGAAATAAGCCGCAACTTTTAGCAATTCTTCGCGCTCATACAAAAATCAATAACTTTCAACTATTTTGCTATAGTTACTATTTATTCGTGTTTTCCCTCTAATATCAATATTGATATTAGAGGGAAAGCGCGTGAAAAACGCTACTTTTACGGAGAACTCAGACGACTGGCGCATGCGCGACGTGACTACGCAAGACTATATTGATCATGTCGTAACCTATTATTAAGACATGAGAAGATTTTGAAAAGTTTTCAGAAAGTCAGAAAGAGTTATATACTAGGCACATAAGCAAAACAAAACGGTGAATAGGATTTGCGCCGGAGACGCGCCGACACGTTCTATCTCATCGCGATTGAAAGAGAAAAATACGATCGCAGCGTAACACTTTTTTCCTACAATGATCGCGCTCGGATCGCAAAGTGGCACTGCAATCGCTCAGAAGTCGCCATTGTCGCGACGCGATCGCGAATTATAAAATTTCGAAAACTAAGACTACATCGCAATCGTGCCGCGACAATAGCGACTTCTCAGAGATCGTGGTGCGACTTCGCGATCACTGTAAGAAAAAAATTGTCTCATCGCGATCGCGAAATACAAATTTTTTCTAAAATATGGAGAAAGAATATATATATGCTAAAAGATTTTACCAACATAATGAAGGCAGAAACTTTAAAAATATGCTATGAAGTAGAGCGCTGTCGGACTTGCATTTGTTTGCTAAGTGCGGAATTTACTGTGTATTCAAGTTTGTTGAATGCTTCTTAGAACTTTAATCTCTTGTTTTGTTTTTTAATTTCTGGTCATCGAATAGATCATGTACGGCGGTGACGACGAAGCAGATCTTTCATCACATACTCGTGCTCCAAATCTGAATGATGAATGGGTTGTGCCACCTGACGAACAACGCCCATTATCGAAACCTGAACAACAAACAGAAGGCGAAGTTCAGAACGTCAACTGTTGAAATACCGTAGACAGCTGAGAACGGAGAGCTAGAGATCTGATAATGGCATGATTATTTTTCCGTCCCCTGTAACGGAGAGCGAGGAATTGCTGCCAAAACTTTTAAATTAGTTAAATCTCTACAGTGCAGCTTTACAAAATATAGAAAAAACTTTTGAGAAATTTTGAGAGGACAAGTCTGCAATGCTAATCTCATTCTGGCAGGGAGCTCCAATTCGGATTTAATTTGTCATCCATTCTTATCAGGTATGCACCGAGCTTTGAGTTATCCGAAAACGCGAACCGGCAGCTTATCTAAAGCAAAAAAGTTCACCCCTGGTGGGGATCGAACCCACGAACTTCTGGTTAGAAGCCAGACGCGATAGTCCACTTCGCCACAGGGGCTACACTCGTTTATGGCTACACTCTTTACATACAAAACATTATTCAAAAGTTTGTCTGTCTACTCTGTCCACAAAGTATCTTTTGAATTAGTAATGATAGTTAAGAAAAATTCAGATAACAAGGTACAAAAAACTTAAACTTAAAGCAGAATTTTTTCATTTTATTACACATGGTAGGATAAAGCATGATAACACTTTTTCTATTTGACAAGTTAATATCTGCTCGGGAAACTAAAAGTAAAGCCAATGATTTTGGAGTACTGCAGTATTGAAATTGATAATGACATCATGCTTATGACATGGCAAAAAAATTGTAGAAGGACAAAACGATCATCTGTTTAGGATGTCGAGTCGTGAAGACGACGGCATGGCTTGACAGTTATGTTGTTTGTCGCATACTTCAAACGTACTGTGTTCGAACTAGAGATCTGTACGGGCAAAACGTTTTTGCCCATATTAGTAGCTCTATCAGGCTTGTCCGTGCGCATGCAGAAAGAAACATTTTTTTTTCTATGATGTGCTACAGACGTGGTGGCATATTTATGAAAAACTCGTGCATGCGGAAGACAGCAATTGCCCGTCCGTGTCCTTTTTTAGCCTGCCCATGTCCGTACTGATCTCTAGTTCGAACCACAGCGCCCATAGGTCATGTAATAACCTTCAGCAATTTACTTATGCCTTGTGAGCATCCGTCCGACAGCATACTCGCACGTTCGATGCAAAGTTATCAGATATTGTTCAAATGACCGTGTTTATCACAGAAGTGCGTTTAGGTACGAGATTTACTGATATAAAGTATGATATATTCTAACACGACCTTCGAACAAGTGCGTTGATTACGGTTACAGGTTTGGCAAACCCAAGGATGTTTGTTGAAGTACATTGGATAGCTCTTGTGGGCCACAAGAGCTACCGTTACTGTAGACTACAGTAACAGATGATTTCTGTGGGCTTCTTATCTTTTGCGCACTTCCACCAGAACCCTAAGCAGGTTGTAGTTTTCCACGATCATTTTTTAGTCTAATTCTTATATGCAAAAAAGTGCACGGTCATTCTATTTAAGAAGAATTGGCGCTTTGGTTTCTACTGTATTATTTATTCGATTGTACATGATTATTATATTTGGATTGCTAAATCGAATAAAAATCACCTTTTTGCTTGCCAGCGCACACATATGCGTGGGTGTTTGTTTTTTCATTCTCCTCGATTCTGCTTGATGAGTTTTATCGTACAAATAGATCATATTTGATAAATCACTACTCACTAGCCATTCGTTTTCCGTTGACAATAATGATAAAACAATATTTTCAACATTAAAATTTATTTTCAATCCACATCGTAAACGATACATGTAAACAGGATGAAATAAATCTAATTTCCAGTGACCATTTTCAATTACTATCATACCTAAACATGTGTCAGTTGCTCGAATACATTTGATCTGTTGATAAGTTGGATCAAATATATCTTTTTTCAACCATTTTCCTGATGATTTCAATTGATTATCATCAAAACTATATTTTTCGATAGCTTCACAAAGACCATGTACAATAAAAATATAATCTTTATAATTACACATCAACGTAAACGTTGCCTTTTCTGAGTGCTGTTTGACACCTGTATCTATTGTTGGTCTTATTTGTGCTGTACCTAGTTTAAACATTACTTTATTTGTTAATAAGAAGAAAATATCCGTTTTTTGTAAACTGCAAATGTCGATGATGACACCAAATTCTGATTCAACCCATTGTATATCATAATTAACATCGCCATTTTCATTAAAAAATATTAATTTTGATATTTTTTTATCATCGGAACGATTGTAAACGAGTAGAGACGTGGATGATGCAGCCATAATACAGCTATTTGCTTCTAACTGAATTGGTTTTTTATTCTCAACAGGTATCAAAGATAGTTCAGGAAAATTTAGTTGGTAATTGTTAAATGATATTACACCGCCAGGATTGATTCCTTTTATTATCTCGTTCATATCATTTAACTCATCTTTAACTGTGTTCAGTGTTGTAAGATTCACCGAGTTTTGTGGTGATTTTATTGTTAATTTTGGTATTTGTTCATTTATTCGATTTTCTAAGTTATCTCGTTGTTGATCAAGCTCCTGTCTTTTCTTATCATACCATTGATTCAAAATGATCTTTTGTTCATTCGCTGTATCTATCAATAAACTCATCTCCTTTTTCATTTGTTCGTGATGTAGAGTAATATGATCAAAACACAAACCTAATTCACAACCACATGGACATTTAACATATTCATCTTGACTACACAATACCTTTGTTTCCTTGCTGACATGTTGACATAATTTTACAGTCAAAGTAGAAGACAAAAGAGCCATTTAAAATACTACTGTTGATAGTCAGTATGACTAGTCTTTCTTTTCTTTTAGTTTACTTTAAAACACTTCAGCTTTTTTGAATAACATAAAATAAGCGAATATATATATAACGACGGAGTGAATAGCTGATGAGTGTATAGTAGAAGAAAGATAAGAATGAAAAAAAATCGTCGTTGAAACGCACAGCATATCAAAATTGATGGCTTTTTCTAAAAAAGCGGCTCTTGAGATAAAGTGATCACTAATTCGTCGAAAAATATCAAAGTTATTCTCATAGGTGATGAGTATTGTCCTAGAGATTTCTATGCTGAATATCTAACGACTTGGTTTATTAGATGTTATATATATTTTGCCCCATCCAGGGCTGGGTGGGTCCGAGAGAGTACTAAGTCTGAGTCCCGAGTCCATGTCGGGTTCGGTAATCTTCCAGATTCTTTTTTGATCATTGTGGTTTCTTCGAGGGGGGAAAACCAACACTCCACTACACTTTTTCCAATACAGTAGTGGCCTTGTAGTGACTTTGCAGTGGTCATTGCAGTGGTATTGAACGAAAGCAAGCAATAGGTATCCTTCTAGCTCAATGCATTTTGAAGGCCGTACTTTACAGATTAATGTACTGATATGACCCATAATTTCTTTAGCATTTAAAATGTAAAAACTCTCTCCTGGGCATGTGCAGAGATATTAGAGAGTTAAGTCGTAATAGTTTTATTGTATGATGTAAGAAAAGAAGGAGAACAACGTATTGCTGACTATCATGGAATTTCTGACGACTGTCCATCAGGTGCAAAATATGCAAAACGATGAAATGACAGCACGAAAAGACGAATATAAACTGAAACTACATTTTAGTATGCCTCGATCGGGCGGATGACAGCTGCTTTTCGGTTTTACGTAAGTTCAACGGCAGTCATCTCACTGTAGATTTTGACTTCACTAAAAGTAATTAGAATAACAGCCATTTTCTGGCCATTGTTTTGAATGAAAATCCTTTGTTTATGATTTTGTCTAAGAATATATTCGAGATTAAATAGAAGCTTTTAGAAAATAGTTTCTGTTTATTGTTGTATTTATTTGAAAACATGTCAGATAGCAATAACAATGATGACAGATTTATCCAGTCTGAATGGTCAAGAATTTTTACTTTAAGGATCAAAAATCATTTCGTCTAAGTGTTAGAAAAATATTAAAAACAAAAAAATGAAACGAGAAGACACTAGCACTGTTATAAGAAAGGCATACTTAATTTAGCGCACGACTTCCGATTATTCTATTTCAGTCCTAATCTCACCATGTTTTACTCGAACTTTTCTTTGAGAACATGGTGTAATCGAGTTGTGTTATAGAAAAATTTCTGGGAATGTTAAAAAGATACTTTAACAGAAATCGTGGGAACGTCAACAACATTATGGTGAATTTCTTCTAAACGATAGCATATATTTTTCTTGGCAACCTTTTGTTTTTCCTCTGTTGTTATTCGTATGTATTGACTTTGTTTCTCTCTATTGGCACATCGTCATATATGCTTCGAACTCAAGTTGAATAGCTTAAAAAATAAACCGTTGCGTGTTTCTAAATCACTTTTTCTTTCTTTTCAAAGTCATGATCATAGCTGTGAATAGTAGCATAGTCAAGATCTTGTTAGTAGAAAAAGTTTTCCCTACTAACTCAGCTCCTTAAACGAGAAATTCTTCGGGAACCAATGGCGTATCCAGGATTTTTAGGCTATTGGGCCGGGCTCCGCAGAGTCGAAAAACCTCGGTGGACCTAGGTGGGCCGAACGTTTCCTTCTTAGGCAGGAAATCCTTCCGACTGTTACCAGTTCTGATACCATCATTTTCCATGCTGCTCATTACCGTGGCTATGAGCTGTTCTCAATACCACATATTCTGCGCGATAGTGGATGCAGAGGAGACCTTGAACTGTAGTAGTCTCACCACCAAACATGCAAAGAAATATAGAATAAGCACATGCCACTTTACTTTGCATTTGTATTTCGTTTTCGTGTCACACACTTTGTTCAGAATTGGTAGGCACAGGAAAAAGCTTTGGGCTGAACACTCAAAAAAATTTTCTATTGAGCCAATGCTCGAATCGCAGTGGGACATGACCCACTGGCCCTTCTCCTAGTTGCGTCTATGTCGGGAATATATACAAAAATGTTTCGTTCCATGCTTTGTATGCCGGTCTTGCAAATTAAGTGATAAAAGATGTTTCGAATTAAAAAACGAATGAGTTACGACTGATTGATGTCGAGTTGTTTGTTAAGGTTTTGAAAAAATCCCTTTTTTATACTATTATCGGTTCTTTCACGATGTTCGATCCACTCATGGAACATGTCTTCATCAATTCATACAACATCATGTTAGTCGTTGAATAAAAACGATGAAACAGGTCTGGAATTGGTTGGCATCTCTCGACAAGCACACACTTGAATAGAATCATACATTATATTATATTTGATAATGGCCAGTTGAAAGGATATTTTAGTGATTGTCAACGTTGAAGCAGTGTTCATTAATCAACATCACCATTGTTCGTCGAGAGAAACAAGAATGAGAAAATAATCTATCGTTTACATTTTTTATTCATAGGTATTCGGTAACAATAGGCCTTGAAGGTAGAAGACATACTCTTGAAGTAATTGTCAACAAAATTTTTAGACAGCAACCAGTAGTCATCGTAAAGGTAACATTACCAGTTTTTTATTTATTACGAAGATTAAAATGTATATTTATGATACAGAGTAGCGATAGAATGGCTGGTGTAGTTGCAAATTTATATGCAGAGGAAAACTGACGCTTGCACATTAGACATTGTGGTCTACACTCTAACGAAAACCGCAACTCTTTAGTAGTATCTTTTGTTTTTAACGAGGAAGAATTTTTCAACTAGTAATGTATACTTTTGGACGCCATTGTATACTTCAAGCTGGAGAGTTCAAATTTGTTTTATTTTAAATTAGACACGTAACTACTTGGACCGACTGACGCCGATTTTTAGATCTTGGTTTTTTGTCAACTTGAGGACTTCTAGAAAACCAGGAAGCGTTTTTCAGGTTTTGAGATTGCTGGTTGTCTACAAAACGAACAAACGCTTAACTGAAAAATCACTGCCGGTCAGCCGTGTAGTTAATGTCTAGTTTAAAATAAAACAGTAGTTAAAATAATCGATTTTTGACAGGTATATGTAATTCGAAGTCAAGAATGCCTAGGAACCGATTAACAAGTGATTCAAATTTTAAATTTCTATAGCTATATTATTTTTAAACATCCGCTCAACAGTTAAAATAGCCTTAATTTTCAGAAATGACGTGTCTCACTGGAAAAATCTCACTGAAACTTTCATAGTTTACGTGTATTAAAAATTACAAAACAAAAGAAAATATATTTTCTTCTACAGCCAAATTTGTAGTCCGTTATCAACTTTATATCGACTATTTTTCAGTTTATATTCGATCCAGTTTTTAAAACTGTCCTTGTATAAACGTTTTGATGTTGTGATTCTCAAATAAACTAAATATATCATTTTCTTCAAGCACAAACATAATATTTGTTTTAAACCGGTGATTGTTGAAATAGAACATTCAAATTTTTTTAAGTTTGGAAGTGATAATGATATTAGATCGATGTCGTTGATTGTTGGTTCGTAGCATTGAACAAGTATCAAACTTTCTATACTGTGAATTTTTAAACTCAGCATATTCTTTAAAGTTGTACTATTCTTAGAACTAAATTTGATTTCTAATAATTTCGGCATACACTCAAATAATTTAAACAAAAATTCTTGAGATCTTTCGTCGGTATTATATCCATCATTAAAGTATAACATTGTTAGCTTGCCACAGGTTTTTCCAAATTTTTTATCCAAAATCGAGCAAATATTGTCTATTGGTATTACGTGCAACGGAAGATCTAATTTTAACTGTTGAACACTATGATCGAAGCGCTGGGGAAGATAGATGTATTTTTCATAGTCATTTTTGATAGTAAGTGTTGTTGAAATTTGTTGATGATTGGTAAAAGAAACGTCTGCATTATCATCATACCTTGATCCTCCAACTGCTGCTATCAATGTATTTTCAAAATGCCATTGTGTATCTTGAGCTGTTTGTGGATATGGTAATGTATGAAAACAAAATAATTTATTCGTTTGATCATAATATATTTTGACGGGATGATCTCTCCAAAACGGATTGTTTTCAAATGACGCTTGTATTTGAGGAAAATTTGGGATAAAATCAAGATATGACGCTCGGACGAATAGTTGAATTCTACATGTTCTGGTTAATGATGATAATAGTTTTGGCCAATAGTGTCCAGACCAATAATTGCTATAGTAACAAATAGTAGTAGAGTAAGACAAAGAAAAATATTCGAGAGTTGAAGCGATTTTGCTAAAAATAAATTCAATATCGGCAAAAACTTCGCTTTCGCTCCATATGTTTTGTATGCCAATATCTAAATGGATCAAATGTGGAAAGTAAATAGCGGTATCGAGTTCTCGTTGATGGCGACTCGATCGATTCCATAGATAATTATTCACCTTTAGATACTTTAAACATGGATTCAGATAATAAAATAAATTTAGTTCACAATATTCGATTGTTAACTGTTCAATGCTTGACGCTCGAAGGTAGTGAAAACTATCTCTATGTATTGTTTTCAAAGAAAGTGTTTTAAGAAATTTTACATTCTGAACACCATCAATTGTTATATCAGAATAGTTAATAATCTCTATTGTTGATAATTCTTTTAATTCATTGACTTTTGGAAATAGATCAAGGATATCTTGTCGATCGGGTTTTATTAGAATAAGTTTCTGTAAACTGAGAAATTGACTTATATCACAAATACTTTTGAACAGCTTGATAGCATTAATATTGTCCACATTCGAAAGTTTAAGTGATTTAATATAATGAGATGATGTACGAAGTGCATATCGACAATAACCCTGAAATTGATCATATGAAATACTTGTGTATGATAGATCGATGTATATTGGGTATGAACAGCAAATAATGGCATTTATTCGGGAATTTAGACCTGAAAATGCTTGTAATATGTCTAGTAATGATAAATAGTCGAAAAATTCATTCCATAGTTCCGTCGAACCACTTTCAATTGTCGTACCGGGAAAAACACTTTCTAAAACAAAACAATTTGCACGTATATAATGAGTATTAAGACGTCAGATTTGTGTGTCTTGAATATCAGAAGGGTTTTCTCGTGTACCTCTGCTAAAAAAATTGTCGAATGCTTTGATGAACGGAGAGATATCTCATGATAGAAACAAATATTCTTCACCAAATGACCGATTTTTCCACTTTTCTCGGTTAAGAAATTCTTTCCGTTCGATTGCATGTAGTCAAAAATCCAAACACCCTGAATAACACTGTGTGAATGAAGTGGTAACTACCAGTGTATTACAAACGGTTAGTTGAAATGAATTTAAAGTTATTCGGCTCAGAAATATGAAAAAAATAACAGAAAGTTAGTTTTACTTTTTAGAAAGTGTACACAAACACTGAAGATGCATTCCAGAAGTAGAAATGAACTTTTAATCAAGTTTCCACTGCACACCTGGAATGCATCACTACGTCTCGTCAGTGTAGCAATATATTCTGGCGCAGCTTCAACATTTTTTACTCTCAAATTCCTCTCAAACGTCCTTTTTTCTCTACCATTTAACAATAAAAAATTCACCGAAAATTAAAGTGAACGATCGAAGTTTGAGACTGATATTGAAAGAATTCGAATGAACCAAAACAGCATTTATGTCAGAAACTGCATAAAAGTTTGAAACCCTTAGCTACGACTTATGATGTCAATATTATTGATAATTATTTGTGTTGAAATGGTATGAAATTAACATTAACTATTGTACAGATTATGTACACGGGGGTTTTCGTAGTCAGTCTGGCATGGTTTTTTTCACGGTTTTGGTTGCTCATGCTTTTGTTTCCTATGGTTGTAATATGACGGTTTTGCTTTGACGGTGGATCGACTTTGGGGCTATCTGAAATCGTTTGTGAAAACTTTTGACCGTTTTTATCGTTTTTGCCGTTTGATTATTTTCTAACTTTGTTGTCATAGTTCTTTGAGAAAGAGCGAAAAAAAGAGGCCGTTAGCTCGACAAGCCGCAAAGTTGACTGATAGTGCTATATATCGGATAGCAACAGTCGTTTGTTCCTTAACTCCTTAACATCTTACGAAAAGCTACCGCTGTTCAATTTGTAAAATTCCTCGCTGTCGTAGATGCAGTTGGGATATCAAAGAGGGATGGTCACTGTATAGGTGTGCGCGAATATCATATGATACCATTTTAATGGAAGATGTTCACTATACTGTTCGCCTCTATCTTCCTAGACAATCAGCATCAGAACGATTTCAGGATAGTCGCAGCTCCAAAGAAAAGAATTGGTAAAACCAGAAAGTTCACAAAACAGTCATATGTGCAGAAACATGCTCTGGAAGACCTCTTCTATTTCGAAACATGTGATTGAACTGGTGGGGATGCTTATCGGCGGTTGGAGTCATCGATATATGTTTCAGATAACATTCATCCTCTCTGTCCAAAGTGCCAGTTCTTTCTTATCCGCCCGGCTAATGCTCTGTGTCGAATATTCCTGGGTGTGAGATAGATTTGTCGAAAATCCCAAGACTCATTCTATTAAACTTACGTTGATGGTTCAAAAGTGGACGGTTTTGTTTCTATGGTTTTAACCTCTACGGTTTTACTTCATTAGTTTTTCTTTTATACTTTTGAATTGCACGATTTCCATGATGTAGGTTTCTACTTCATGATTTTTCCATACTGTTTTCTGCCGGTAGTTATGAATTTCACGGTTTTTTTTCACTATGCACTTTTCAAAAACAAGCAAAGTCTCCTCTGAGATATTGCTTAGAGTACGTGTGATAAGATTTTTAGCTTCATCGTATCAACTAGTGTAGCCACTAAATCACAATTATCAAGGTCTTCAGAGGTACAACCCCAGCATAAACTTTCGTAAGAAATAAGCTAGCAACTCTAGCCGAAGAAGCGAAAGCTTCTCCATTGACTAGCTGAAAGAGTAAAATTTGACCAGTATAGCTAGCTGCAGAGGGACAAACCCGCGAGCTCGTTTCAGCACTAGATGCAGCGACTTTATATAAAGAAAATGACAAAACTGGAGGAAAAGGAAAAAAGAAGAGATTTGAATTCAGTATGATATAAAGATTAATCATCTTCTCCGTACGTCACTGTATCACAGGAACACACAACTACAAATATGTGTTTTTCGTTCTGTCTCAAGGTTGAACTCTAGAGAAATGCTTCCTTCATGGAAAACCAAATCCCTATATGCGAATGCGATTTCCAACTGGCTTCACCCAGTACCATTAGAAACAAGAATATCAAGGCTTCATACAGGTACAAAGCATCAACAAACCTCTAAATTCCTTCTAAATCGCTGTTATTCTGACTATTGCAAAATTATCCTCAAAGTCAGAAAGATGAACGCAACAAAGTTTTATCTTACTTTTCACTTCGTCTTGTTGTTGTTGATATCGCTTTGGTCTTTTATTTGCTCTAACCAAAGATCGCGTTGTATCATTATCCGCTATTTTGTGTTTACCCATTCGTCTGGATGAATGGAAAGAATCTGAAAGGGTATAGAACCGATTTTGTACATATTTCACTAAGTCTGTATAGCAGCATACAATATCCACATAGAAGAATTTTAGTGTACGGTGAAACATTTTCACTTATTCTTTATTGATTTTCATGGTTGATCAATATATTCGATGATATTCCTTAACGGAATCGACATACAGGAATATATTTGAGTTATGAAATTTACTTTTTTTCTGACTTATACTTCACTTTCATTCTTTGGAATATTTCAATGGAACATAATTTTCTCTTTACGTCTAACAGGTAAATTTTCTTCCACGTTTTATTCGCTTTAAGGAACATGATTCCAACGATTTATACCGCCAACAGCGTATTTTCCTTCACTCCGACTTCTTGCACATTCGAAATAATGTTGTTATCAAGAGAAAACAAATCAACTACTTCTAGTAGTATTACTCACATACAAATTCAATAAGGTATATGCGTCACTTCTCTTAAAGGCGACGAAAGAGAACAACAAGAACAGAACGATACTCATACAAAAATTATATAGAAAGCAGTGGTGTGAGTCATTTTTGTAATTTCCAACGGTTCGATTCTGGCCCAGGAAAAAATTTCGCTATAACCAGAATAAAAGTGGTTTAAAACGACATAGAGGTTTGTTGAGTAGGAGGATGATTCTTCTGTAGGATGATCTAGTGTAAACTGTTGCCAGCTATGAATAACTAGAGACACCAATATTAAGGCCTCAACAAACCTCTATGTCGTTTTAAACCACTTTTATTCTGGTTATAGCGAAATTTTTTCCTGGGCCAGAATCGAAATGTTGGAAATTACAAAAATGACTCACACCACTGCTTTCTATATAATTTTTTTGTTGGATTATGCTTTATTGCTACGCTCGGAAGCGCTTGCAAAAAGAAAAGAAAACAGAGAAAAATATATAATTGAACCCATTAGGACATTTTAGTTACATAAAATTTATAAAATATGAAAAAGACACTTTCTTTTCTCAAAAACAGAGAATATCATTAACACATGTACTGGAACGGTTTATAGAGATAAAATTAGATAAAAATAAACACGAGGAGAAAAGTAAGACAAAATAAAATAAAAAAAATTATATTTATCCAATAAAGTTCAGCCATTTCAGCAGTAATGATTCATGTTTTTGAATTTTATTTTTTACTCGTTTTTGCTGAAAAAAGTGGCCCATTCCATCTTTTTTTCTCTTTTTAAA